CAAGTTGTTAAATGTCTACAAATGTGTCTTAGGAAATTCTACCAGTAACAATTGTAGCTTTGAGTGTCTTGCAACTTTACTGTGTTTTCTTCATCTGTAACATGAAATAGGCACAACTTATTTTGCAAGAATTCCAGAAGATGTAATTAATTAGGGGCACATAGAACTTCATAAGATAATCACTGTACTTAACATTATTATTTTCAACAAACCTGTTGTTATAATCATGTGTAAAACAAGACTAAATGTTTGAAGTATTTTAAGCTCAAAAGATGGCAAGTGGCATCTGAATAAAATAATGTAACACAGTAAAAGAGCTCAAAGCAGTCCACAGTTATAGCTTGATGAGCCCAAACCTCCAGCACCAGATGCCCAAAGTGACAAGCTCCTGACTCGCTTCCAGTTCTTCATATCATGGCCAAGAACAGGCTTGTAGCACCTCCTCAGCCAACAATAAGTTCATAAACGAGAAAAAACATAGGCTTAAACAAGGAACCCCAAATGAAGCAATGTGGGTATGTGTTTTCTGAGAAATGAAGTTAGTTAGTGACCTGGCATATCAGAGCACTATAATGAGCCAACTGGTATACCACTCTAACCCCTCATAAGACCCTGAAATGTATTTTTCTGGATGTTTTTTCATTATACTGTAGGAATGACATTGACATCCTACACACAAAAGTACCGTGGTGTGTGATCTGTTGGAGTGGAAAGGGATAAGGAAATCTTCTGAGAGAGAATATAGGTGTGGTTGAGCAGAGTTCAACACCTGACGCCCTGCACCAACTAAACTCACCAAATGGACAATCTAGGACCTGAGATTCACTCCTTAATGCCTATGAACAGTGCTAGCCAAAGAAGGTGATGAGTCTTTGTTTATAAAGATGACTTCAAAGGGAACGTAAGGTAACTGAAGAGAATATTTACTCTTCTGTATGGAGGTATTTTGCTGTTATTGTGGTTGTGGGTTTTGTTTTACTTTGTAATAGTAGTAGACCTAGCACATGCTAGGTAAGTGCTCTACCACTGAGCTACTTATCTACTCTTCGCATTAGTTAAGGCAAAACAATAAAATAAACAAATAGAATTACCAAGAGCAGCAGGTAGGTAAAGATATTGAAAAAGATAATAATCAAAGACAAAAGCAATGATTTTTGAAAGGGACTAAGGGGGAACATGTAAAGGATTAGAGAGAGAGGACATAGAAGGGGTTGAGGGAATAAAGGGAAGGAGGGAAATTATATAATTATATTTTAATTAAAAATAAAAACAGCAACATATTAATGTTTGTGGTTCATTTTCCTATAATTTACTTTTATCTTATCATATTCTTCCCCAATATTTACAAAATGGCCTCTTTATACTTCCATGTAGAATAACTGCTCCTTCTGAATGGAAATATGCTCTTCTAGAAGAAAGGAAATTCCAAGACTAAGGAAGCCATGAAAGTTAACAGACTCAGGAAAGTTGTAATACTTAAAAAACTTCCCTCAGAATTTATATGAGCAGTAATTTCTGGGGCGGTGGGAGACCCTGCTAGGGAGTTTCCTTCAAGCAATGCAGGACACTTTGGAGACACAGATTTCATGAGCCATCACCTGTGGTCAGTGGGTATGTTAGTAATGCAAATGACCAAGTCTCACCCACATTTCTCTAAGTAACTCTAATACACTCATAGGTAGAGTTGGATTAAATCACTTCTTTGGTGACATATATGAGATGGAAAGACTTCTGTTCACATTGCCCCAGGAAGAGTCACACCATATTCCACTGATTTGTCCTGCTCTTTCTGTCTTATTATCCAAGTTTAGATAAATATGTGAACTTTAAAACAATTTTGTAGAAGCCAATACTATTAAATTTACAGAAGAAGTTGGGCAGAATATACACACTTATCTCAGATTGAAAAGATATATACCTCATAGTTAAAAATATTTAATTAAAAAACTAAAAATATATAAACCACAAGGAAAACATATTAAACAGAAAAACATATTGCTGTCCCTCAAACGTCACTGTGTACAAAAGTAGCACTGGAAACAGCTAGAATGAAGGCATTACTAAAGATTTAGTTTCTAGATATATGAAGAATTTCTGTAAGTCAGTCAGGAAGAGATAATACAACTAATTCAATATAGGTAACAGATAAGAATAGGTAACTCAGGGAGATCTAAAGAGCTAATAATAATAATCATGTTCAGTCATAGGTGACAATCTGATAAGCAAAGTTTAGAAAGCAGGTACAAGAAATGCTTGGAATTGAAATACCTTTGAGAGATTCTGGAAGAACCTGTGGAAATTAAACATCACATCAGCCATCACCTTGCTTATCACCCTATTCCAGAGTATGTACTGCAAAGAAGCCTTCTTTTTGGTACCCAAGGAAGTTTTTATGAAGATGTCTTTGTCCTTATGATGTTCAATATATCAGTAGCCAACCTGATGAACAGTAGAATCATCCAGGAGATGGGCCACTGGGTAGGCTTGTGAGAGAGTGTCTTATAAAGTTAATTATAATAGGTAGACATACCCACACAGGTATTGCTCCCCAGGCTATGATTTTGGACTGGATAAAAGAGAACCATGTGATGTCTGATTGTGGATATAATATGACCAGGCACATTAGGCTCCTCCCGTTGTGACTTCCCTGCCATGATGGAACATAAACTTCAAACTGTTAGCCAAAATAGACTCTTCCTCCCCTAAACTGTTTTCATTGGTGTAATTTGACACATCGATAGAAAAGCAACTAAGAGAGACCCCATTATTTGGGACTAATGGAGGATAGCAACAACCTAGATACCTAGAGATACATGAAACAGATGTCGAATACGAAACACTCTTTACCAATGAGTTTTGCATAGAATAATGTGAGACCATAAAGTAAAAACAGAAAGAGATTTCAGTAAATTACTATATTCATATTAATTAAAACATACATAACAGCCTTCAATGATACAGAGATAACTAACACATTTGGAAATTACACAAGGCAGACAGAGTGCTTTGGCAAGAAAGGGAATGAGATTTTTGAAAAGGAAGTAATAAATTTAGAAGGAGAGGAAACAAAAGGGGCACCTTGCATAGAATAATGATAATATTATACTATTCATTCTTGCACAAAGTTACTCAGCTGGAAAATAAATTGCTGAGTGGCTCCAGACACTTTCAATGTGCACTGGGATTACAAAGGTGAATGGATGGATAAGGTCCTGCACTTGACAGTCCATTCCGAAGGGCTGAGGAATAGAACTGGACATTGTGAGTGAATCAGTGGGACTCCAATGATGCTAAATGAAATTGAGATGATAATGACAGTGACATTACATCTGAAGTTGCTTTTGTTAGTTTATTCAACACAAGTTAGTATAAATATGTGTCTATGTTCACACATACACATACACACAGGAATGAATTTAGGTCAAGCAGGTTGTAGAGCTTGGTAAGTTTCTTCTGGAGGACATTTTGAACTATCAAACCATAAGGGATTCCTGTGAGAAGAGTTCCTATTGCATGTGACCCAGCATGATTTTTTGTGCACTATTCTGTCCACCAGATATACTCAGTGGTCACATAGGGTGTAGAGAGGAAATATAATACTCTCTGATTAGCTATTTTTCCCTAGTGTTACTGCTCATTGAGTTTCTGCCCTGGAGCCCAAACACAGCCAGGATTGCACTGCTGTGTTGGATTCTGTTTCCTGTGAATGATCTACCTGCCTCTGATCCCAGTGGTCAAAGGAAAGAATAGATTCTTTCTAAATAAGAGAGAGTACCAGTCAATACCACCATCCCTGAACTCTAAAGCAATAAGAAAAAAAATCCTTTGGTGAGATCTGTCTAGATAATATGCATTTGCAACCTGCTATGGCTCTGCAGCATCAAGAAATGGTGTGTGTGTGTGTGTGTGTGTGTGTGTGTGTGTGTGTGTTTGTGTGTATAAGTGTTATGCGTTTGCATGATTGTGTGTATGCGTGTTTGTGGTTTTGTGTATGTGTTTGTGTATATGTGTGTATGTGTGCATGTGTGTGGGTATGTGTGTGCAAACAATGAAGTTGGCAGCTTGTGATCAGACAGACAGAGAATAAGAGGTATCACACACTCCCTCAGAGACCATGGAACCACAAAGATCCTTCTCAGATATTTAATTTCTGAGGAAAAATGCTAAGTTTTGTGGGATTCCACACTGTTTCTAGGTTCTTCCCATCCTTTTTCTACACAGCTTCCTTATTTTCCTAACTGAGAAGCAATAAAAGCCATCCAGGCTAAGAAATACTGGGTGAAGATGGAGGTAAGCTGAAATTTCTAGAAGAAAAATACTTTTTATTTGTGGGGTCACTGTGGGTCCCCTGGGTCAAGGTTGGACAGGACAAAGTGAACTGTTCACCAGTCCCGCAGCCTCCCTGAAACCCACAGACAATAAGAAGCAACAGAGACGAGTCAAGAAAGATCTCCTTTATTGTTTAACAGCAGAGCCCTCTTACAGCAAAAAAAATCACAGGGTGGGAAAAGTATTACCCAATAATTTCAAAGATATTCCTGAGCTGTAGCTAGTGTACTATCCCTTCTTGGGCATGCTTTGTTAGTGTGATGACCTCATCCGATGTGAGTTTGGACAGCCAATTGCTTTTCTTAGTAAACACTTGAAGCCTCACCTCTGTAGCTTCCTCCCAGTGTCATCTTATAATGGTGCCAGTTGTCAGCTTTGGGCCACTCCCTCTTTTGGGGGGACAGTCATCAGCGTGGGCTACTCCCCCTCCTGCCAGGACATGATCTGTACTCCTCCATATTTCTCAGGGCCCATAGTATCATGCAAATCCTGGGACTCTGTCTGCATCAGCAATCACTCCCCAGTGTTGGCAAGGGTGCAGGAAAGTGAACAATGTCACAAATTTGGCAATGCATTTCAAGAGTTTGATATATGTCCCCACAACCTCTGACCAGTAATTGCTCTTATGGGAATTTATACACAGGAAATTATCAGAAATACGTGCAAAGATGGACATTTAGAAATATTTAATGCAACATATAGCATGTGGCCCACGTGTCATCTCAGGACTTCTGTCCTTTGAAAATGATATCAAGTCATTCCAAGCCTCCATCTCAAGTCTTGGAAAAGTCCCAATGTATCCTTCCAGATTTCCAATGGTTCTTGGGGCTTCCTTGTTAAACTCTCAAATCTGCCTGGTACCAAACTCAACGCAGACAACAGAGATGAGAGAATGTTGCCCTTCACCCCCAAACGAACAAATGCTTTGAATTTAGTGCTTCAGTCTTTAAAAAGGAATCAAGACAATGAAGAGAAAATATGAAACACAATGCCAATCGATTTTAAAATGCACAGACCTTCAGCAAATCAGTCAACTGGACTTCTAGTTAAGTCTGTTTCTTGTGTCCCAGAGCTCATTTTCACTACTCTTTAATTTCCTCTTCCTCCTTCACTAAGCTTGTCCTAATCCTAAATTTAATACAACACATTAAAAAGAGCATTTAACTCTCCATTTTACCACATATAGGTAGATCATAAGCTCACAGCTACACCAAGTCTTATTGGATGATTGTCCTACATATATTCAGTTAAGAGATTTCTTTCCTATTAAGTCTAGACAGAGAGTAAACTTCCCTTTCTACCATGGGTCCGTGTGATGTCTGGAACTGGAGCAATAATCCAGATGCTACACTGCAGTCTCCCTTGAATCTGTATAGTTGTTGTTTTCACTCTAATCCTTCATGCACGCCTCAGGACCAGGGTAACGCATGCTTCTCTGAATGCCCATATGCAGAATATATTTGTGCATGTTTTCCTCTGTGATTATAAAATAAGCTTTCATCTCCATCTCCATGAGTGATGAGCCATGATGGAAATTGGATGGTATTAAGACAAATCCAAAAAGAATCACTGAATCATGCTAATCAATGTTTTTCCCAGAAGGGTTCTGAGAGAAAGGATATCAGGGACTTGTAGCCTAATGGAAAACAAGATGTTACTATTAGCTCGGAGCAACCACCCCTCCCACCACCATAATGCCGAGTCTCTTGAAAAACTGAGTTTGACAACCAACTGTTGTGCTCTTCCCTGGTGAGGATCAGCCTTCCCACGCCCAGCTTTTCTCAGCCTTGTGTAGTTCTTTAAGTAAGGCTGAAGCCTCACGGGTTTTCCCACATCTAGTTTGTTATGTCCATAGGTGCTGTCCTTCTTCAGCTCATGTTTGAGCAGTCATGTTCATGAGAATGTATGGGTGTATTTCCTGATGTAATGAGGAGATACAATCTCACAGCAAACTCTCTGATCCTCCGACTTGTGTGATCTTTCTGTCCCTCTTCCATAACGTTTTTGAAACTTTAGGTGAGAACCTGTTTTCTAGCTGTATCCCTTGGGACTGGACTCGACAACTCTACATTATAATTGGTTGTGGTTTTGTGTAATGGTCTCCATCTGTTGCAAAGACAAGTTTCCTTGATGAGGGGTGAATATTGCACTTGTCTGTGAGTATAAGGACAAAAGGGGAGGTGTATATGGGAAGGTTTGGGGAGAAGAAAAAGAAAGGAAGAAATTTTGTAATTGTTATCTCAAAACTAAATTATTTTTAAATGAGCTTGAGAGGTAGGTCTTGCTTGAAGCCAATTCAGGAACTCCTATTTCTTCCTTTGCTCCAGTGGGAAGTTCAAACTTCCCTCTTGCTGACATCAGATGGGCCTCATCAAGAGAGACTAGAGAAAAGAGGGGGGAAAGATGTCGTTACAAACAGAAGATATTGTTCTAGTTAACCAATTCTATCAAATATCCAAGGACACAGAGGGATCAAGACAAGCTCTTTCCTAAGGAACATCTCTCCCCAGATGTACTCACATAAACAGCAAGTGCCAGGAGGACAGTCCGTGCCTTTAAACTCTGAGCAGTCCTAGTGGCAAATTGCTCTTCCTTGGGACATTTATGATGAAGGTATAAGAAAATAAGATTTTTTCCCCAAAAGTAAATGTTTGGCTTTTATGATCTATGAATTTGCTGGCAGTGGAACACTAAATTGTTAATAACAATGTTTATTACCCTCCTGGCACATTCTGGCTTGCAGACATGTGACTTTGTTTGGCCAGTGGAACATGAGCTTCTGAGGGGATGATACCAGTTCTGGTTAGAGGGTTCTAGGACCCAGCACTTGTGTCACCAAACTCTAGCCTCAAAACTGTCAAGGTCACCAGCCATGTCCTAGGCAGCAGCTGTTCTATCATCTTGAGCTTCAAAGTGAGACTGTGGATATAAGGGAGTCTTAGGGGACCCTGCAGTGTGCGTGTGTGTGTGTGTGTGTGTGTGTGTGTGTGTGTGTGTGTGTGTGTGTGTGTGTTCGCTCTCGCGCGCGCACATGTCTCTGCACAGGCACACATTTGCTCAGGCACATAGAATAAAAATTACATAATGAAGCGACTGAGATTCTCAAGATGTTTGTTACTGAAGCATAGCCTAGCCAATCCTCACAGCCGCAGGGCTTCTTTTCAGAATGTATTCATCATTATACCATTGAAGCCTGAAACAAAAAAAGTCTGGTCCAATGGATGTGCTGAATAAACTAATGAATGTTTTAAATCAAAAATGTCATTTTCTTCACTGGGAGGCAACACATAGTGAAGAAAGATTAGACTTTGGAGTTACGGGGACTCACTTTAAATCCCATTTTGCCACTTAGAAGCTGTGCCACCTTAGGCAGTTCAACTTTCTAAGTCTTCGTTTTCTCATTTAAAGAAACATTTTGTCAGAAATGCCTTTCTTTAAAGGGCTTTTGAGCATGTTAAATGAGGCAACACATAAAAATAACCTGGTTTGTTGCCAGGCATCATATATTAAATTGATTATTAATGATATCCATTTCTTTATTCAAAAAAAGTCAGACAATGCATGGTATAAGTAAAAAAAAAAAGCAACAACAACTATACTATTGCTAATCCAGCAACAGGATCAATAGTATCCAGTAACTGACTATGTATATATTATTAAGGAAGAAGAGGAATGAAATAAAAGATAATGAGCAGATTTACTAAGGGAATGTATGGGCACTTGTCTTTGATTTAGATAAAGTGCACAGAGTGGATTCTATGTGGCTTGGCTTGGCTCCTGGGCAAGGAGCATGGAATAATAAATTCAATTATAGGTATCTCAGGTTCCTGTAGACTACAGGTCATCCAGGTAGAGTTGCTGAGATGATGAATGGGTATACAGGTCTAGAATTCAGGAAAGATACATGGCTAGGAATCTAAGTGCTTGTTAATTAACTGAATGGTTGAATGTGAGCCAGTTGAGAGAAGCTAACAATAAATGAGTTCTTTGGAAATCACGCCTCACTTTTAATGTGGCCATTTTGTGTAACAGTGATAATCTTCCAATCTAAATCTGATTGGGATGCCCTATTTGAGAGGAAAACACTATTTTGGAACTATGAATGTAGATTAGAGAAAACCATGCTTATTTAACCTTATACAATCCCTGAAAACAAACCATGTTAGGACGGTAAAGAATGACCTTCATTAAGCAACATTTTAGGATGCTAATTATTTAGCACCATGTTTTGGTTTCATATGTTTTAGTCAAAAGTGTCTCCATTAGTACTAGTTATTAACCACAGATGTAGATGGTGGTTACAGCAAGATGGAATAACTTCTCAAAATGATCAATTGAGCAATTTTTATTGTTTTACAACATCAGCTCTTAGAAGGATGCTAAATTAGAATCAGGCATGAGTCTCACCTCATGAGGTCGCCATTTCAGACTGGCAATGATGCATGGCATGATTGGTTCTTAAAGATTAAGGGAGACGGCCAGGTTAGTTGGAGCAGGGGCAATTGTCTCTAACCCAGAAAGTCAGTAGCCTTTTGTTTTGTTTTTTGTTTTTTTATTTTTTTTAGGGTTGTGAATTTTAAGTTGCTGCTCTATACTGATGCCTTAGGTATACCTAAGTTGATGCAAGGAAGGAATTAAAGGAGCAGCGACACATAAATTGGAAAGGGACAGAAACATTTGCAAAAGAGCAAAAACACCTGTTTAATTATAGCTCAGTATTTATAAAGAGTAAGCCACAGAACAGAAAGCATATAGTCAGGCTTTTTGACTGTTGGCTTCAGGAATGTAACCTTTACTCTGTAATTGATAATAGGACTCTGTTTTAAAAGAACTTGAGCAGAGGAGACATCAAATCTTCTAGGGAATTTCAAAGGAATGATATTTAGAGGCTTTCCTCGGGATAGTTTTTTTTCCTCATCTTAAAGTTAGAGAAATTGTATTTACTGCAAAAGGGTGGTTTTAAATGAGATAACCTATATAATGCTGTGGTTGGTAATAGCCTGCCTTCCCATCTTATTTCCTGAAAGTGAGCTGATAATATCCACCTGTTCCTCATTAAGACCCCACGGGCAGCAACTGCAACAGCACTGGGATATTAACAAGGGCAGGTGCCATAAAGGCAGCTAGGGACCCACAAGCAGGGATTTAGAAGACAAAGTAAAGGCATGCAATAAAAAAGAGAAAGGTGGAGGAAGAACTGTTTGCCAAGGGCTGTTGAAAAGAAATGAATTGGAAACCCGTTATGCATGTATCTGGGACACTGCTATTAACTTAAGAAAGGAGGGACCACCACGGAGAGCGCCCCAGTGGTTACGGAGGAGCACCTAGGAAATAGAACCTGCGGGCTGGGAGAGGGGACAGTGAACACAGGCCAGCTATGTTGGCTGGCAGAAGGGATCTGGTATTTATTAGGAAAATTGCTCTCATCAAGTTGCAATTGTGACACCATCTCAGCATCTGTGAGTAAACTGACACATGCAAAGTTCCAAGAGGAAAAGCTGGCAGGGATGGGAGCAGGAACCCCCAAGTGAACAATAAAGACAACTCTACAGAGCAAGGCTAACTGAAAAATGAGCCTCAACTGCTGCACACCTGAAGTCTTTGCCTACATGGAAAGTTCCAATAAGCTAACCTCCGAATTGGGTCTACTACCAATTTGGCTCTTGGTCTGGCTGGTGAAGTATCATAGAGTCATCAGAAACGATGATTTGCTCACTGCTCAGGAAAAGTGCTGGAGAGACAATGTTTGATACTTGCTCCACTTGCTGGTCAGAGTCTGGAGAGGGAATCCTGAAGCCCAAGGCCTCCTCCATAAAATATGCAAATGGGTAGTGATGCCCAGAGATGCTCAGAGGGCTGTGTCTCATTTAGCTGCTGTAAACAGACTGTTGCCTGGAAGAGGGAGCACAGGATCTGAAGCCTTATAAAGGTTCGTGCAAAATATTGCTTCGACAGTCATAAAGTTATGGTAAAGTTTACTCAAAGGCATCATAACTCTGCACTTTCCATAGGGTGCTTGCATGAACACACAGCTGTGACACCTTGCAGACATCTAAGAATGAGGTAGGACACCACTGATCACTTCCCTTTTTTGAAAAATATGTTTAGAGTAACTACTACAATCCACACTTAGGGAGGATGTATTAGGTCATATTGTCTCCTAAGCAGGCACAAATTAGTAACTCTTCACTCTTGAGACCCTAAACAAAGAACTCCTGTTCTTTTCTCCTAAAGATACAATGCACTGTCCATAGGATGAGAATATTATTGAAAAAGTCAATCAATAATTACTGAATGGAGTACACAAACCTTCCAAATAGTAAAGTGGGGGTTTCATATACATCCCAGATAGTGGGTTTATCAACTGTTTATCCCTATACATATCCAATGAAATATTGGAAACATCAAAAATAGAGAAATGATCAAAAGGTGTGCTCCTTTAACAAGTATCCAAGTTTAATCCCTCAGACAAAAGGCTTGCTGAAGGCATGCACAATGACAGTTTGAGGATATAGGCATGGTTGCCCTCTCCTCTGTAGCAAAGCTGGGGTTTCCAGTTACTGTTTGAGAGTTCTGTACTGCAGGTAATTCTACTCACCTTGACACCAGTTATACACACACAGAGCACCTTGTACAATGTCATAGATATGCATGGCTGTAAAACGAAATGAGTTACTGCCCTAGTTAGGTTTCCACTGCTGGGTAAACATGGTAACTCACACAAATTTGGCAGGAAGTTGGGATTTACTTGGCTTATGCTTCCATGCCACAGTCCATCATTGAAGGAAATCGGTGCAGGATCTCGAGCACGAACCTGGAAGCAATACCATAAAGGAACAGGGTTACTGTCTTGTTTCCTCTGGCTTGTTCAACTGCTTTTCTTCTACAACTCAGGCCCAGCATCCCAGAGATGGCACCACCAGCAGTGGACCTGGCCTTCCTATTTAAACTAGCAATTAAGAAAGTATGCCACAAATATGCCCACAGGCCAGTCCAATGGAAACAATTTCTCAATTAAGATTCATTTGTTGTAGAATATTATTTTAAGTTGTGTTACATTTGTTTATGCTGTGGAACATTTGTTTTAATTATACAAAGATGTGTTGCATTCTTTTATGATTCATTTGTTTAACTCTGTGAAGCTGTGTTACTTTGCCTGTCTAAAACACCTGATGGCCTAAAAAAGAGCTGAACTGCCAATAGTGAGGCAAAAGTAAGGATGGGTGGGGCTTTCAGGCATAGAGGATAAATAGAAAGAGAAAAAAAGATCAAGGAATGAGAGAGGAAGGAGGAGGACTTCGGGGACTAACCACCCAACCACACAGTCAGCCATGGAGTAAGAGTGAAAGTAAGATTTACAGACGAGAAAGATAAAAGCCCAGAGGCAAAGAATAGATGGGTTAATTTAAGAAAAGCTGGCAAGAAATAAGCAAGTTAAATCATGTCATTTATAAGTAACAATAAGCCTCTGAGTGTGTAATTTATTTAAGAACTGGGTGGAGGCCCCCAAAGATCAAAGAGTAAAAACAAACTACTTTCAATCTTTCTAGAGGATTCTAGTTTGTCAAATTAACCAAAACCTTATTATCACAGTTACCTGATAAGTCCTAGAGAGATAAAAATTGACCCATTTTATCTATGAGGAAAATGATACTGAGTTAAGGAATTAGTTCTGACCATTCTTAAGCTTCAATTGCAATAATTGCAGAATTCTATGATGTAGATTGTGTGTCTCCCATGGGTAAAATCAGACACCAGGGCAAGGAACAAGAGTAGTGTTATCCATATTATCTCTTGGCTTAGCTCAAGTGCAGTCTCATGTTCAGGAAGACCTATCTTACCCTACCAATAACTCACAAGGTCTTCCTTGGCATTATTTATGTGCAAGACATCATGGACTGAAGCAGCCTTGTTTATTTCAAGCAAACCAGATGTTTTAAAACTAGAGCAATGTGTGTCCTTAACAGAATGTTAAGCCACTTGGCTTTGCAAACATTTGTGTGTATATATACTTACTATGTGTGACTGATTCTTTGTGGTTGGTCCTGACCATTGTTACCTCTACCCAGAGCAGCTGTGCTCACACCCACGTGACCCTCATGAAATGAGACCTAACAACATCATCACGTGAAAGAGGAGTGGGGTGGGACATAAATCTCACAGAGAAGTCAGAGGCTTCACAAGATATTTTAACATCTATGCTGTCCTTAGGGTTACATGAGATAAGAAAATGACATGAGTAGGACTCTTTGGCAATGTTGCTGACATGGGGACTCTAATAGTGCAGCTTTTTATGAGTTATGCAACCTACAGGTGAGATGTCTTCAGTGGTATAGCTGCCTCTATGTTGCCCAGGGGAGGGGCTTCCCAGATACTTGTGTCATCCATGTTCCTGCAAGTGTTTTGTATAGACAAGCTGGACTTGGACAGAATTCTTTCTTTGTCTGTATGTACCCATTCTATATGAGGAAGACAGACATTTCTTTACATCTACAAATTAAAAACCATTCAACACATTCAAGTCCTAAGGACATCTGGGTAGCTTCTCCAAAGTAAAATGTGTACACAGAGGCACCTACAGGAGCTTTGAGTATGAAACCAAGAGTACAGGTTCCAAATCACCACCAAAATATTGTTGACTTTTACTCCTCCTCAATAATGGCATGGCCAAGTGGCACAGAGAGTGGCATTCAAATCAAGTGCCAGGCCACCTGAATGGTGTGAACCAGCAGAAGTTTGTGCAGCGTTTCGTTTTGTTGAGTTACTGAAAGTACTAGCTTGCAGGAAGACATCCATCCTCCCTCACATCTTCAATGCAGGGTCCCCACGCTTCCTTCTACCCTTGAGTTAGGTTTGTGTGGGAATTTAATTTAGTTTGCAAATCTCAACCCTCAGTCCTGGATTTCCGAACAGGAACAGATCTTTTACTTGTGGGAACTTGCAACCTGTCAAGAAAATCAGCCTGTCTCCATGCTAGCAATGAGCAAAAAGAAATGATTTCATTCTAGTGGAGAAAGATATTAGGTATTAGGGCCCATTAGATATTCATCTCCATCTTGGCCCCAGGCAGAGCAGGAGGGGAGGAATTGCTATTGAGGTAGATGATGAGACATGGTGGCGTGACCAGGCGTTGACTGGGGAAGCAGAGGGTGGCAGGAAGGCTGGAAGGTGGGCTAACTGCCTGGAGCTCTCCGGTGTAATTTCCTCTACCTCCTCACTGTCACTCACAGCTATTTATATAGCAGCAATGTCATGCCACATCAGCTGCACCTGTGCCCCGTGTGATGACTTTCAGTCTCAGATAAATACCATCGATGGACTTCAGGATGATGGGCACAATGGAACACCCTGGTGATTGATCTGTTTGTTTCCGTCCTGGGGCTCAGGGTCTATTAAATAAACACTGGTATTTTGAAGGAAAAGCAGGAGAAACAACTACAGGGTGGACTTTTCTGTATTTCTTGTTTGGCTTGGGAGGTAGTGGTTGTTGTTTACTTTGAGGATCTTTTTTTTTTCCTTAAGTGAGAATGATTTTTCCCAGACAAATAGAACTGGACAAGAACAGGAGGGCCTTATTTGCCAGTTCCAATCCTGAGTAGATATACCCCATGATTGACAATGTGCCAAGAGTTAGCAAATTTCCTTGCTCTATTTCTATGTTCTGCTCTACAGACATATCAGACATAGAAACAGAGTCAGGTTACCTTTTCAAAGACCACACCTCTGAATGCCTTGCTCCAACCAACCTGGTAGCTAGAGGTTAGGCTTTAACACACACTTTTGCCCATTTTTCACCAACCCTAGCAAGGGTTTGAGGGCAAACTTAAGCCTCTCATTATAACCTGATTACTTAATTTTAGAGAGTCATTGTTTACAAAATGTATTTGTAATTGGAATTATTAAGGACCAGAGTTACTATCATGTATTATTAATTACTGTGAATGAGTGGTCACAAATAGCCACTGTCTTCCAATTAAGAAATTGGTTAGTGCATTCTATTTCCATATTCCAGAATTTTTGAGTCACTCAGTGTTGCACAGCAATTAGTGGTAGGGTGAGAAATTCTAGAGTTCTAAATAGTATTATTAAGCAATTCTTTATTTCCAGAAAAAAATGCCATTTAAAGTAGAAAACTTCTAATAAAACTGTTTCCATTTTTTCTGAAAAAAAAAAGAAATTGGTTAGGGAATATCATTTCCCAATCTGTGGGGTACCTTTTTTCTTGCTGACAGTGTCCTTTACCTTACAGAAGCTTCTCAGTTTCAGGAGGTCCCATGTATTAATTGTCGATCTTAGTGTCTGTGCTACTGGTGTTATGTTCAGGAAGAGTCTCCTGTACCAATTCATTCAAGGGTACCTCCCACTTTCTCTTCTAACAGGTTCAGTGTGACTGGATTTATGTTGAGGTCTTTGATCCATTTGGACTTAAGTTTTGTACATGACAATAGGCATGGATCTATCTGCAGTCTTCTACATGCCAATATTCAGTTATGCCAGCACCATTTGTTGAAGATGCTTTTTTCCATTGTATAATTTTAGCTTCTTTGTCGAAAATCAGCTGTTCATAGTTTTGTGGATTAATCTCAGAGTGTTCAATTTGATTCCATTGATCTACCTGTCTATTTTTGTGCCAATACCGAGCTGTTTTTAGGACTACAGCTCTATAATAGAGCTTGGAGTCAGGGATGGTGATGCCTCCAGATGTTGCTTTGTTGAGTAAGGTTGTTTTGGCTATCCTGGGCCTTTTGTTTTGTCATATAAAGTTGAGAATTGTTCTTTCAGGGTCTGTGAAGAATTGTGCTGGAATTTTGATGGGGATTGCATTGAGATATTCACTAACCTCACATAGGACGGAGGGCTGATCTCCAAAATTAACAAAGAACTCAAGGAGGTATTCTCCAAAACACCAAAGGACCCAGTTAAAAAGTGGGGGACTGAACTAAATAGAGAATTCTCAATAGAGGAGACTAAAATGGCTGAGAGACACTTGAGAAAGTGCTCAACATACTTAGCCATTAGGGAAATGCAAATCAAAACAACCCTGAGATATCATCTTATTCCTGTCAGAATGTCTAAAATCTAAACCACCAATGATAGCTTATGCTGGAGAGGATGTGGAGAAAGGGGAACAGTCATCCACCAGTTTGCTGGTGGGAGTGAAAACTTGTACAGCCACTTCAGAAATCAGTATGGAGTTTCCTCAGGAAAATGAGAATCAGTCTACCACACAGCAATTCCACGCTTAGGCATATACCCAAAAGATATATTCATACAACAAGGATGCCTGTTCCACTGTGTTCATAGCAGCATTATTTGTAATAGCTAGATCCTGGAAGCAACCTAGATGCTCCACAACTGAAGAGTGGATAGAGAAAATGTGGTACATTTACACAATAGAGTACTACTCAGCGGGGAAAAAAAAACAATGGAATCTTGAAATTTGCAGGCAAATGGACCGCAATAGAAGAACTCATCCTGAGTGAGGTAACCCAGTTACAAAAAGACAAACATGGTATTTTCTCACTCATATATGGATTTTAGACATGGATCAGGGGAGTGTCAGCCTACAATCCCAGGGCCAGTGAGTCTGGGAAACGGGGAGTTTCCCAAGAGATATGCATTATACCCCAGAGAAGTGGAAAGAGACAAGATCTCCTGAGAATATTGGGAACATTGGGGGGAAGAGGGAACCAGGAAAAAGAGGGGAAGAAGAGGAAGGGAGAAGAAGGCATGGGGGAGCAGGAAGGATGAGTCGAGGTAAGAATAGAGGAGACCGGGATGAGAGATACCATAATAGATCCAGTCATTATAGGCTTGAGGAGAGAGCTTACACCAGTGAGATTTCCAGAGATGTACAAGGATAACACCAATAGCAGAGAGACTACATTAATCACCCCTACCTAATGATAAGGTTGATGACTTCCTTATGTGACATCCTAGAACCTTCATCCAGTGACTGATGGAAGCAGAGACAGATACTCACAGCTAAACA